GGGCGGGGCGAGGGAGAGAGGGAAGGCTGAGCAGGACCAGCACAGGGAACCTTAAACCATCCTTCTGCGTGATGCTGTCATGGTAGACAATGGCAGTGCGCCTGTCTCAGTCCATAGAACTGTGCAGCACAAATAGCAAACTCTAATGTTTACTAAATGTACTAACATTGGTTGATCAATGGTAACTGATGTACCATACAATGCAAATACTAAAGGAGCCCAGGGGCACTGGGCTGCTGATTCACAAGGTCAGCAGTTTGAAACTCAACAGCTGCTCAGCAGAGAAAGACAAGGCGCTCTGCGCCCCTGAAGATCAGTCTCAGAATCTTCTACAGGGGTTGAAATTAAGTCAACATCGACTTCATGCAGTAGTTTTATTGGTGTGCAAGAAAGGAGAAATGTTTGTGTGTGGGGAGAAGGCGTAATATGGGAACTCTATGTAGTTCATAATTCTCCTGTTAAACCTACAACTGCTCTTAAAAATAAAAAAAATTAATATTTTTTAAATATTCTACACCAAACCAAAAGCATTTCAAGTTTAAGTCTCAAGACAGTACGTCAAATGATTCCATACCATCAAAAACAAAAGCATTGCCATCCATGTACATATGTAAATACATTTATATATGATTTATATATGATCTATGAGCACATATTTATAGGTTTAGTATAAAGGTAGCAGATGGGTATTAGGCCTCCACTCAAGTACTCCCTCAAACACTTCATTCTATTAAATTGGCATTCCATGATGCTCACCTTCCCAACACGATCGTTGAAAACAAATGTGTGCATAAGCAAATGTGAAGAAAGCTGATGGTGCCTGGCTATCAAAAGATATAACATCTGGAGTCTTAAAGGCTTGAAGGTAACAAGCAGCCATCTAGCTCAGAAGCAACAAAGCCCACATGGAAGAAGCACACCAGCCTGTGTGATCACAAAGTGTCAATGGGATCAGGTAGCAGGCATCAGAGAACAAAAAAATCTTATCATTGTGAATGAAGGGGAGTTCAGATTGGGGACCCAAGGCCCATCTGCAGGCAACTGGACATCCCCTTAGAGAAGGGTTGCGGGGGAAGAGAAGAGCCAGTCAGGGTGCAATATAGCACCAAACATACAACATGCTTCTTCCCCTGCCACTATCATGATCCCAATTCTACCTTACATATCTGGCTACACCAGAGGATGTACACTGATATGGATAGGAACTGGAAACGCAGGGAATCCAGAACAGATGATCCCTTCAGGAACAGTGGTGAGAGAGGCGATACCGGGAGGGTGGAGGGAAGGTGGGGTAGAAAGGTGGAAAGGAGGAACCGATTACAAGGATCTACATCTACACCCACATATAACCTCCTCCCTGGGAAACGGAGGCATCGGACAGTGTAAGATATGACAAAATAATAATAATTTATAAGTTATCAAGGGTCATGAGGGAGGGGGCAGCAGGGAGGGAGGGAAATAATGAGGAGCTGAAACCAAGGGCTCAGGTAGAAAGCAAGTGCTTTGAGAATGATGAGGGCCACAAATGTACAAATGTACCTGACACACAATGGATGTATATATGGCTTGTGATAAGAGTTGTATAGGTCCCAATAAAATGATTAAAAAAAACCAAAACCATTGCCAATTGCCATCAAGTAGATTCGGACTCACAGCGACTCGACTGGACAGAGAAGAATTGCTCCAGAGGATTTCCCCACAAATCCAATCCAGCAAAGCAAAAAAGGCAGTAAAAATTCAATTCCATGTAGACAACAATGGAAGCTCAAGAAGATCATACACACTGCATCTCCCTAAAAACACGCAATCACTTAAGTCCCCTTACCCTTACCTGTTTCTGAAACATAGGTAACAGGGTCCTGTCTCAGAATTTTACCACGTTTAGAAGGCAATGGCACTTTTCCTGGTTGCCTCTTGGCATTTTTAACCCGCACTGTCTCCTCTGGTTCTGAATCTGTATCAGACAGGAAAAGAAGAAACACCGTGAAAATAAATACTGTTCTTAAAGCATAAAGTAGTCTGTGAACCAGCTCCTCGAGGTCCTTTTCAGGTTTAGCAGGTTTCGCCTGCTGCCATCTCTGATCCTCTGAGCATCTCTCTTCTTCTGGCTCCCTCAGTCACGTGGAAGGACCCTGTGATGACCCTGGGCCCATCTGAAACACCTAACATTATTTCCCGATTTCAAGGTCGTCTGATTAGCAGCCTGAATCCACCTGCCATCTTAATTCCCCATCTGCCACGTAAGCCATCATCTTCACAGGCTCCAGGGAGTGGGGTATGGACATCTTTGAGCCACCACAGCCAAATTGCCAAGGGCACTTAAATATGAATCATGTGCTGGGCACAGGACTTGGGACAAAATTGGTGTTCCATAAACTTGAGTGTCCTTCCTCTTCCTGGACAACACACATTTACAGAGCCTGCCTCGTGCTGTTCTAAATTAAATTTCCACAACTTTGGAAACGATAGACACTTCCAGAGTATATCTCTTGCAAATTCCTTTTGTTCAGAGCAATAAGCCCACCCTCTACTCCTGAGTCCATTCCAATTCACAGCAACTCTATAGAGGGTTTCTGAAACTCTGAGTCTTTATAGGGCATCTTTCTCCCTTGAAGCTCCTGTTGGGTTTGAACTGTAGGGTTAACACTCAAATACTTTGAGAACTGGATCAGAAATTTAATTAGCATCGAATCACTGTCCAAATCTCGAAAATCAATAGAGTGCAGAGCGATGGGTCCTCCCTGTAACAACAAAACCTGAAACTTTCTGGGTTCTATCATTATTTTAAAGGATCATAAAACAGAAATGTGTTTCCTGTCTGAAAAACATTTTAAAACACTTTAAAATTGTGTTTATCCTTTACATGTAACCAAAAAAAAAGCCAAACCTTTCAATCAAGCACAAAAATTAAAAGATGTTTCCTTTAAAATTCATATTTTAAGGCATTATTGCTTGGTTTCCAAGAAACATACGAGAACGTTAATATTTTTTAAGATAAATATACCAAATTCAAAGGAGCCTTAAGACATTCTGCATACTATATCCCCCTGGACAAATCTCTAGCATGTTGACAGAGGTAGGCTCTGATCAAAGTCTTGCAGTAGAATAACTACTTCTGCAGAAAGTCCTCTTTGCAAAGCACCCATTAACATAGAGGTGTGTGTATCTCACATTAATGAAGAAGCACTGTTCGAAGGGGTATAAAATCATTGTGAACTGCAAAGTTCTTCAGAAGAAATATTACCTGAATCATAGATGATCCTCTTTTTCTTGTTTGGCTGTTTCGGTTTGAAGTCATCCTCTTTGCAAGAGCTATTAACCTATAAATATCACAGCATAATTAGAAGGCCAACAAGCCTACAGAACTTATCCTATTATTCCTCACTAGCTTTGGGCTTAGTGGTTTCCAACCAGGGGAGATACTTGCCCCCCAGGAGGTATTTTCTGATGTTCAGAGATATGTTTGGTTGTCACAACTAGGGGGAATAACTGCATCAGAGTGAAAAAAAAAGGATTATAGTAAAGTTATATCATTGTTCAGCTCCACTTTTACCACTACCTTCTGAAAATGAACATTAGAGACTGAAATAAGAGCTAGAAGTTTTGGGCCCACCACTAGCCAAGGCCTGTTGCAAAATTAAATAAGCCAAGGTAAAGGGTACTGGTTTGTGTTTTCCAGCGAGGCACGGTTTTCTAAACATACTCAAAATATCCCCAAAATACAAGAAATCACACAGGAAAACAGCTATTATAATCAATTGTAACACAAAAATAGAATATGTGAAACTCCAAAAATAATAGTCAGCTAAGTTCCAAGAAAATGCGACAAATCGATTTACTTGGAGGAGAAAACGAGAAATAAGGTAAGTCAGGAATAGGACGAGAGAACGGAAAGTGTGTCTAACTGCTTCAAAGAACCACCACCTTGCTTTGCCTTAAGGTCAGAAGAACTGGACGGTGCCCAACTTCTGCTCTGATCAAAGGTCTCCTACAAGAATCCTAATCAAAAGAGGGGATAAGCAGAACAGAATTTCAAATTCTCCTGGACTTCCATGACTTTCTAGAGCCATGGAGGCTAGATGAACCCTGTAACCACTACCACCCTGAGATCATCTTTAAACTTTAAGCCAAAGTATCCTCTGAAGTTTCTCTCGGAACCAAACAATAGTTTTAGTAAAGGACGTCTGCCTATAGCATTAAGCTCCCTCCAGATCTATAGGGGCTCGAATTGCCAATAGCAACTGGAAAGAAGGGAAAGGAAACTTAAGGTACAGGGAGGACCAACTGAAAAGAGGAAGAGGATGATGGTAGTGAGGCTCAGAGAACGCAGTCAATGTCGCCAAATGCTCATGTGGAAACGGTGAGGTCAACGTATGCTCTGTCATGTCCATTCTCAACAAAAATATAATTTTTTTAAAAGAACATGGAACTCAACACATAAACCATTCACTGGGCTGGGGATCAGTTAGGAACAACTCAAAAGTGAGGGAAGGCAGCATCCCAGAAAGCAGAGAGCCACAAAGGAGGAGGAGGCCCAGATTCTGCCTATGAACTTGGACTACATCCCCATAGGCACAGCACTACTCTTGAGTGCTCAGCTAAGGTTAAAGAGAATTGATCAAATATTTCAACTGCTGCATGTATGGGTTCGCAGGGACATCAAAACAAGGTACCCCAAAGAGGGTGGTTGTCAAGAGCAAAAATGTATAGTCTCACAGCTCTGGAGGCTCGACCAGAATTCAGCAGGGCCATGCTCACTCTCCGGCTCTAGGGGCCATCGGTTCTTGCCTCTTCTCGATTCTGGTAGCTGTCAGGGGCCTTGACTTGTAGCTGCAGCAGACCCCCATTGGTACATCTTGTTCTGTGTGCCTGTCTCCTCTTTTATAAGCACATCACTCACTATAACCTCGTGTTTGCTTAACTGAAAACATCTTCAGAAATCATACTCCCAAACACAGTCACTCACAGGTGCTGGAGGTTAAGGCTTCAACGTCTCTTTTTGGAAGACATAATTCTTAACACTTTCTATCCCAGAAGAGCCAAGAGTTTGAATTCAGTCAAGTTAACTGCCTGCTAAAATGAAGACATTAACACTCATAAGAGAAATGTGACTGAATCCACAGTCCCTCCACTGTATCAATCACAATTTCCAAGATAAACTTCAAACAGCAAGACATACGAAGAAGAAGAAAACGTGGTCCACTGACTCGAGAGAAAGGCACTCAGAGGAGACCAGGCCTGACAGATCTGTTATAATTAGCAAACACACAAGAACGTTAAAGCCTCAATTCTAACTACGCTCAATCATAGAAAGGAACGAAAAACCTTGAAAACAGGGAGAAAAAAGACTTCTACCCAAATGTTCATTTATAGCACTAATCACAATAGCCAAAAGATGAACAGGGTACATACACTCCATGGAATACTACTCAAGTCAGGAGAAGCCTCCGGCCTAACAGCTGAGGCTTGGACTTAGAACCTGCCTGGACTCGTCCGCTTCTACAACTGTAGGAGCCACTTTCTGGATAGGGATATCTCTAAACATATCCAAATAAAAACTTCACTAGTTTTGCTTTTCTACAGAATCCTGCCTAAAACAACCTGGAAAATGTTGAATTGGCAAAATTATGCTATATACTCACAACAATCACACACACACACACACACACACACACACAAATAGTGGCTCAGCCTGCTAATGGACAACCATACACCTCGTGGGATTTTATTCCATGCTTTGGAGGTTTAGTTACGGTTTCATGGGACATCCCAGTTAATTGGCCTAAAAATGGTTCAGCACTTCTGTTCTACCTCCTCGTTCTGTGTGAAGTGCCTGGGTTTTAAAAGCTTGCCAGTGGCCATGCAAGGCACAATTGGTCTCTATTCATCTGGAACAACAGCGAAAGCAGAAGTGTTAGAAATAGGAGAGAGATGGGGAATATGTGGCTCATTACTTCCAAAAATAGCTGCCTCCTCGCCAGGAGACCAGCATAACTGCATGGTGCCTGGCTACCACTACTGAACATTTTGATCCGAGATTCCCTAGAAGAATTCTGATCAAAGGGGCAAAGGACAGAACAAACTTTTAAATTCTTATGGACTCTAGACTTTCTGGAACCACGGAAGCTGGGTGAACCCTGAAACTACTGCCCTGAGATCATCTTTAAGTCTTAGACCCAAAATTTCCCTTAAAGCCTGAAAGCTGGGTAACAGTTTAACTTGACTAGTCAGAAAAGTCTGCCTAAAGCACCACGCTTTTTTAAGATCTACATGGGATCAAACTGACCAACTCGAAAAATTAAATAGAAGCCTCAGTGGATGGGGAGTTTCAGGAAGACTAAAAAGGAGAATGAGAATGGTTGTACACGTCAAAGATGTATTGCACTCCTGATGTCTTTAAAATACAGCTATCTGTTTACAACAAAACGACTGCATTGACATGCGCAGTTAACATCTGTAGATGTAAGACACAGGACACCTGGAGGATAAAAGATGGGGTTGTGGTATACAGAAGTGAACGGCTGCAAGATTTGCACATCTTATAGGAAGTAAAACAGGGCCAAGTCAAACACTACTGAGGCCATTGCTATGTTCCCATGGTGACATTATTTCTTTCTTTTTTCTTTTAACATTTTATTAGGGGCTCATACAACTCTTATCGCAATCCATACACACATCAATTGTGTAAAGCACATTTGTACTTCATTCTCAAAACATTTTCTCTCCACTTAAACCCCCGACATTAGGTCCTCATTTTTCCCCTCCCTCCCCGCTCCCCCCTCCCTCATGGTGACATTATTTCTTAACTTCTCTAAGGCCCAAAGAGGAGATGGAAAAGAATACAGCTTTCTTCCAAAGTCTACCCTCAGAAGTCCAATGCCACTTACCTGAGAATAACGGTCAGATCTCTATGAGCAAGCTTTGTGCATAAAACACAAGAGTTTGAATAATCAGAAAGGGCCCCACCTCCACAAAGGTAAACACCGAGCTATGGACCTAGCAAGCGGTAATAACTAGCAATGATCATCACTTTTCCCTCTTATTTCCCTGTCTGCTAAGTGAGCTGGAACCAGTATGATTTTGAGGCTCTCACCAGAACAAATTCAGGAACTTGGGTTATTTAACTTTTCAAACAATTCAAAATAGTATTTGAAAAAACTAACCTTGATTTCCTTGATTCCTTTCTTGGTTTTGAAAGTTTCTTCAACAGACTTGGTCTTCTCATTCTTCTTTACTGTCTCATTCACAAGCTTCTTTCCACTTGGTATAACCCCAAAGAACTTCCGAATGTCCTAAAAACAATAAAGGAAAACCCATAAACATGAACCGCACGAGATGCTTGTTTCCAAGAGTCCCATTCTCTCTCTCTCTCTCTCTCTCTCTCTCACACACACACACACACACACACACACACACGTTTGTTCTATTACCCTGAGTAATTTCTCCACAGCAAAACATGTCCATGTGTGTCGCAGGGTTTTTAAAAATTCTTTTTATATGTAAAGCATAATTGAGGAAATTGTGCAAATCAGAAATAATTTGCTGAAGTAAAAAAAAAATGTTATTTCACGGAATCTGGCCAAAAACAGAAAATAAGTGAATTTTGTTAATGAAAGAGCTAACCGGTATTTCTCAATCTTACAAGCACATATTCACCCTGTCATCCCAGACACCGCATAGGAAGAAGACGGAGAATGAAGAACAGAATCCTTGCCAATGAGGCATTTTAGAGAAGAGCAACCCTCACTACCTGATGATTTAAGGCCTTATTTACTAAGAACTGAAATTATTTTTCCTTACATAATTTTTCCAAATTCTGAAAATATTTCTATGCTTCTTACAACCTTTTCTTCAAACACTTTACCCCTCTACAGGTTAAACTGTAGAATTCAAATTATTCAAACTTTAAAAAAATCATTTTGTGCGCTATTACTGACATTATAACAATCCATAATTCAATTAGATCAAACATAATTGTACAATTGCTGCCACCATCAGGTTGAAAACATTTTTTCTTCTTGAACCCTTTGGTATCACCATCCAATATATCCCTCTCACCTACATTTGTTATTCATTCCCCTTGAGTGGGGTTATACAGTCATCATTACTATCAGTGCCCCCTTCTCCACCACCTCCTCTTCCCTTCCCCTCAGGGAATCATTGCTCCCATTACTATTTCTGCAGGGTTTATCTATCTAGGATTTCATGCATCAAAATGACCTTAATTATACAAATAAACATACACAGGTCTCACAAGGTTAATGAGGTAAAACTAAGATCATAATAGTAATGAGAGGAAATATTAAGAAACTAGAGCATAGTTTTGTGTTTCACCAGTGCTATACTGCATCCCTTCCATGTGGCCCTTCTGTGAGGGACTGTCCAATTATGTTACACATGGTTTTTGGGTCTCCGCTTTGTCCACGCTCCTTCATGTCAACTTGATTTATTGTTTTTTAATTTCTGTACCTCTTCCCGTTGATACCTCATGATCACACAGGCTGGTGTGTTTCTTCCATGTAGGTTTTGTAGCTTCCCTGCTAGGTAGCCACCACTTGTTTAACTTCCAGCCTTTAAGACCCCAGAAGCTACATCTTTTAATGGCTGGGCACCATTAACTTTCTTCACCACATTTGCTTATGCGTGCATTTTGTCTTCAGCGGTTTTGTGGAGAAGGTGAGTATCAAGTGCCACATTATCAGATCAAACTGTTCTTGTGCTGAGGTTAAGATTTAAGTAGAAGGGGGGAGTGGGGAGGGAGGGAGAAAAAATGAGGAGCTGATGTCAAGGGCTTGGTGGAGAGCAAATGTTTTGTGAATGATGAGGGCAACAAATGTACAAATGTGTTTGACACAACTGATGTATGTATGGATTGTGATAAGAGTTGTAAGAGCCCCCAATAAAATGATTTTAAAAAATCATTTTCCTTTATCATTAAAAAAAAAAAAGATTTAAGTAAAGGCCCAAAGTCCATCTGCTTCCTTATTGTGTATACATATATATACATATACAAATACACCTATCATTATATTTACACATATACATAACTACATTTATACCTATATATGCAGTTTTTACTTTCTTTTTCTTTCCTCCTGCCCCACTCTCATGTTTACCTATCGTTCCCTTCTCAGAAACCTCTCAATTGAGCAAACAGGGCCACCAACACTACACCTCCCGTCTATTTTAGATCCCTTGCTATTCCCGTCCCTGTCGTTACTTGCTCATAGCTCCCCATCCCAGCCCCTCCTCTCCCATGCCCCCTCCCCGCCTAATACACAGATTAGTTTGACCAATGAAAATCATCACTTTTCTTATTCTTTGCACACAGTCTCTCTTCTATCCTTTTAGAACTTAGTTTTAAAGAAACCGTAATATACAGAGAAAAGAAGACACTTAGAAAAGTCTTGGTTCAGTCTTTCTGCCCGAGTGACTGCAGGCAGGTAATTTATCTGGACTGGTTTCTCACTGGGAACGTGAGACTAACCGAACCTGTACCTTATGAGAACTAATTACACTTTTCACAGCTTTGCCTCATTAAGGCTTGCCTTTCCCCCATTTGAACCAGTACCCCTTCATATCACTGAAATGTATTTTTCACAATTATCTCTAAGGAGCACAGAATTTGCAATGAGGCTCGAAAATCCAGAGAACAAAAGAACCAACTGTACCACCTTCCTATCTGTGACCACAGGAGCGATCCCGAGTTTTCCCTCCTTTACTCCTACTTTCACCTCGCTCGTGGTGGTGCTGGTGTGGTGTTAGGGCCACCGCATTCACTCCGACACACGCTACCTTCTGTCCAACGAACAAAACACTGCCCAGCCCTGGTCATCCTCAGGAGTGTGCTTAGGGTTGAGTCCACTGTTGCCCACCCACCTTGTTGAGGGGCAGTCCTCGTTTTCACTGGCCCTGGTGTGTCCTCTTAGTGTCCTCTATTTTACTTCACTGCAACGGCTACACAGAACTCATAGACAAGCTTCATTCATTCAAGGGTTTACTAAGGAAGTTAGCAAGCTAGCATGCCAGTAAGAAAGGCTCAGGATTGTCTTTTCTGAGGGCGTGTTACAAAATTCTTTCAGGGCTGCTAATAAATGCCCAAAGGGACATACCACTCTGCTGGAAGGCTCAACCAGGAGACCTTCAGCTCAAGCTCTAAGGATCGGCAAACCCAGCTCCCAGAATGAAGTGCCCAGAGGCACTGCACTGCAGGGAACCTCACCCTGAAGGCACTCAGCTCCACTCCCTGGGTCCGGTTAGCAAGCCCAATTGCCCCGTCAGTAGCCAGAGGCACTCTACTCTGCAAGGCAGCCTCTGGCACCCAGCACTCAGTGTTACTAGCTTTGTGGGTTGGGGAGCCCACCACCCTGTTCCTGCTCTGGCTCCTGGCTCTGCTCCAGTTCCCCTGAGGGTTCCGGGAGGACTGCCCCACTCCTGGCTCTTGTAGAGATCCTTCCTCCTGCTTCTCAGAGGGTTCATTTTATACACAGCAGAAGGGCATTCCAGAAATCCTGTTTACAATTACTTACAGGTGAATCCTATCAGTATCTTCCCTGACCTTCATACCAGACCCATGCAAGAAAAGGTCATTTGCTGGGCATTAGAGACTTTGGCTAGAAGAGTCACTTTTAACATAATTCACTGCTACTGCAACCCTCTTCTCTACCAAGATGCTGTCCTATTCCAGGGGCTGGTCCCTCCTGATAACATGGACGATCTCAGTGAAAGTATTTTGTAAGTGTTGAGAAGTTTACAAATATTTCCTAGAATCTGACAATAACTTTCACTGTCATTTTTACTACATCACAAACCCTAAACAAATGTGCTGTGTAAACACATACACACACTCAACTTATTAGCTAAGACAATAAACAAAGTGGTAAATGATTACGAGGGGGGAAAATTGAGTCTTCTAGCTTTTTATCCTCTTTTGTAAATCTCCTAATACAAAAAGTCACCAGCTAATTAACTCTAAGTCAAGAAAACACTGCAGACCCACAGCAAAACTGAGACAGCTGTGGCGGGTGCTGCAGAAGAAATGTGTGAGTAAGATAGTCTTCCTTTTAACTTGTGGAGAAGCCAGCTGGAGGCTGGCTGTGACTGACCTTGTTTCTGGCGGAAATGGGAGTTTTGCATAAGTGTTTCACTTTTGGTTCTTCAAACAGTTGTGTTTACACACACAGAGAGAAGGAGAAGGAGGTGGGGCTTAAAAAAGCCCACTGCCTCTGAGTGGATGCCTTCTCAGTGACCCTGTGTGGGGAAGGGTCCCCAGACGGCAAATATCAAAACGGTAGTATGAATGAGCAGATTCAAGTGGTGGTTCTCAACCTGCTCTAGGAACACCATTTTTAAATCTGCAGAGAGAAAGAGAGCTAAACAGACCAAGAAAACAGGATCTGGTTTCCCTACGTTTAAAGGGTTGCTAATGCCCAGATTTGTCAAGGATGTGGGAAAACAGCTGCTCACACACATCAATGCTAGGGGGGAAAAAACCTTGGGAGGAACTCTAGTGGCGTGGTGGGTAAAGCACTCCGCTCCGAACCAAAAAGCCTTTGGTTGGAGGCCCATCAGTGGCTCCACAGGGAGAAGACCTAGCCTTCTGCTTCGGCAGCGATTCACGCCCTTGGAAATCCTCTGGGGATCCTAGTCTGCCCTACAGGGTCACTAGGAGGCAGACCGACTTGAGGGGAGTAGTGTGGTTTGAGGCATATAATCCCTTGGTCCTGGGAATTCCACTCAAGCGTGCCTTAACCAAGCTGAGACCTTTTCAATCACCTCATACGCACGCGAAAGCTGGGCAGTGACTCAAGAAGACGGAAGAATGAATGTCTTTGTATTAAGACGTTGGTGAAGAATATTAAATATACCGTGAACCCACAAATCTTACTTCGAAAGAGCACAACCATCCAGGATGCTCCATAGAAACAAAGATGGCGAGACTTCAGCTCACGTAGTTCGGATGCCTTATCCGGAGGGCCAACTGCTGGAGAAGGCCATCCTGCTTGGTCCAGTAGAAGGACGTCAGAGAAGAGGAAGACCCTTGATGAGCTGGATTGACCCTGGCTGCAACAAGGGCCCGCACACAGCATCAATTGTGAGGGCAGAGCAGCGCCCGCACACAGCATCAATTGTGAGGACAGAGCAGCGCCCGCACACAGCATCAATTGTGAGGGCAGAGCAGCGCCGTCTGTTGCAATAAGGTCACTAGGAATTGTCACTTGATGGCAGCGAGCAACAGCGCTGACAGGAAAGGCACTACTCCGACAGGGGCTTAGTACACATGGAGGAAAAT